GATCCTCCTGCCTCAGCCTCCCAAGTGCTGGGATTACAAGTGTGCACCACCACACTCGGCTGCCCGAGTCAATATTACTACTGTGCACATTTTTCTAATGACAAGGCAGTTAAGATGGGACAAAACTATGAAAAAAAAGCCTTGATTCTGCCTCTCACATGCACAGCAGACACTTGGGAATCCCGGACAGGTAGGCTGAAGTGCTTCCCAAACCAGAAGGAATAGCGGGTTCCATCGACTTGTGAAAGACCTTAGGAAAAAGGCCACTGGACACCTTCCTGTGCGCCTTCCCTCACCTTACGCCCCTCAGCCCTATCCCCACCCCCGGAGAAGGTGGAGAGGGGTGGTTCCACGAAGGAGAAAACTCCAGCTCAAAGTTACATTAACTTTACACCTCTGGACCTCAGTGAGCCAACAAAGGGAAACACGGGAGAGCGTAGGAAACACACTGAGTGGCGATGAGGAGGTCTCCAACAGACACAGCTTTGGGAAAAAGAATGAAACCCGGGCTGGGGCAGGGCAGAAAGCAGGCACCGCCAAGAGACGCGGCTGCCGGCAGAGAGGAGGGCGGGAACTGGAGGGAACTGACTGAAGCAGATCATAAAGCTGGAGAACCCAAGCGACGCGGGCGCGCCAACTGCCAGACAAAAGCTGGGGGCTCAAGAGGGTCCTGGACCCGGAGCTCGAAGGACCCCAGGGTTTGGGTGACCGGAAGCAGAGACCCCCCTCCAAATACGAGACCAGAAGGGGGCGCAGGTGACACCCTGTAGGGCAGAATGAATGGGGAAGGCGGTCCGGGGGGCGGGGCAAAGGAGGGGCCCCGGGATGGGCGGGGCACAGACCCCTTTCCAAGTTCGAACCCCTACCCCGAGCGCCCGGGAAGAAACGGCTCCGCGACTCCCGCACTCACCGCCGGTCTCGTCGGTTACATAGGGAGTCGCCATCTTGGAAACTCAAAGCACTTCCGGCGTGAGCGGGCTGGGGTCCCGCCCCCCTACCCACCGGAAGTGGAGTCCTGATCCCAGCGCGCCACCATTTTGGTCTTAAAGGGAGCGTGCACCATTTTCTGGGTCAAGAAGAAGGAAGAGGGAGTCGGAAGCGGAGATCGCTGCTCAAATAAAGCCGTGGGCTTTTACTGTCACGTATACCATCACTGAGCGCCCGGCTGCAAGTAAGACAGTCTGCTGGGCGCCGAAGGAAGTTCCAACACACAGTCCTCCTCCCAGCCAGGCTGTCCTCCTCCGTCCAGGACCCGCGAGGGGAGGCCACAAGGCCCGCCTGTACCCCACGCTGGGGCTGGGGGCCGAGGAGAGGAAGCCCCTCCAGGCCCTGGCCTGCTCCCGGCCCCGCTGCCTTGATGACGTGGGGCGCGCGAGTGTTGGGGAGGTCGGCGGGGAGACCGCAGCCAACCCTAAGAAGGCGGAGAGTCAAACGGGCGCGCCGATTGCCCGGCACCCGGCGTAACTCCGGGCAGAGACCCGCAAAAGGGGCGTGCGAGCCGGGCGGCGCTGCCTGCCGGTCACCT